AAGCAGGCGCTTGTGCCACTGAGCTATTTCCCTGGCCCAAGTAACTATATTTGACATGAACTTAAATTACTTCTAGAAGACACACATTAAAAAAAAAAAAAAAAATCACACCATGATTCTTAGAAGTTGAGTTTTTCTAGATGGAATCGATTATTCAAAAGCACATTTTTGCAAGCTTATTATGTGCTCTACCGGTTGTTTTTTTGTTTTTTGCAGTACCGGAGATCGAACTCACAACCTTGTGCTTGCCAGGCAGGTGCTTATGCCATTGAGCTATATCCCCAGCCCCATGTGCTCTACTCTAAGTGCTGAGGAAGTAGGAATGACAAGACAGACAGCGTCTCTGTCGCATGGAGCTTACATGTAACTGAAGTATAGAGAAGACAAACTCCAAGCAACATTAAATGAGTAAGATTTCAGACAGAGAAGCGGGAGGGCAAACCCGGGAGTAAGGGGAAGGCTGGAGAGGGCAGGGCTGCATGGAAGGTGGTGTGGAAGGGGAGGGCGCTGGGGAGGGCAGGCACGTCTGGCTGAGCAGGTGCCCTTCTCTGAGGGGCACTGAATCTGAGACACGAACAACGAGCAGCCTGAGGAAGTCCGGGGGAAAAGTCTCCTGCGCAGAAAACGTGTGCGAGTGACGTCGCCCCTCTCGTTCTCTGACGACACAGGATGACGCCCTGGGCGATGGAACCGAGAGATCCGCGCGTGCCTAAATAGGAATCATGTGTACATCGCCGGTCTTTTGGGTTGGGTAAGCTGGCACTGAAACCGGTATCAGCGATGAATCACTGCTTGGTGACGAAAAGACAGCTGGACAACTCCAGTGGGCAGCACATGTGGGCGGGGATGTAGGGTACAGAGAGAAAAGGAAAGCGGGCAGCGTCTCAACTAGGAACCGGGAAATGCAAGGAGGGCAAATGAAGGAGGCGCATTGCCAGATGGAGCCATTTTATTTCCCAACAAGATTCCAAACAAGGGGATGCCTTCCCATCTCCACACTGGATTTTCATTTTACAAAATACATTTGCTCCTAAAATCCTTCATAAAATCTGCCTTTCCCTCTGCTGTGGGAAACAGGCAAAAAGTCAAAGGTTAAAACGTCATGCATAAAACATTCTATCCACCAAGATAGTTACACAATGATCTTAACTTCTTCACAGGTTAATGATAAAACATTCAGATTAATTTACACTTTGCTATATTTTACAGCACTTCAGGTTTTTTCTTCATATGTTAATGTTCCTGTTTCACAGACAACAATATTATAAAAAGATTACCAACTTTTTCATAAAATGGAAAGACAAAACAAAGCTATACACTAGAAAAGAACTGCAGAGCACAAACACTTTCATAGGAATAAAAGTGAAAAGAACAAGGAACTCAAGTATTTCATCAGAAACAGTGGCCTGTTTTTCTTTTTCTTCCACTCCCTTTTCATCCAAGAGAGCTCTTCTGAAATCCGAAATCATTTGTTGTCTGTAAGCACTACAGAATTTGGCTATAATTCTGGGGGAAATTTTAAAGGAATTCTAAAAGCCAGGCATGGTGGTGTATACCTATAATCCCAGCACTCAGGAGGCTGAGGCAGGAGGATCGCTGTGAGTTTGTGGCCAGCCTGAGCTACAAAATGAGTTCACAGCCAGCCTGAACTCCATAGTGAAACCCTGTCTCAAAAAGACAAAAAAAACCCAAAAAATAAAGAAAATAAAGAAAATAAAGAAACTCTTGTATTATATGTCCTCTTTCTTAGAGGTAGAAAAACTCAAATTAAGATTCTTTCAATGGTGTGAAAGACCAGTAATGGGGCTATTGGTGTACTCAGAGGTAGAGCACTGGCCAGGCATGCTGAGGCCCTGGCTTCCATCGCCAGCACCCCTGCTAAAACAGTGTCACATGAGGAAGGTAGCTATCATAGAATAAGAACTAAAATTTTGGTTTCTTAGGAAAATCAATCTTCACTGATACATGTGTCTATGTACATGAAATTATGACCTAACAAAAAAAAAATCACCAATACAATTTGTCCAGTCTGAGAAGTTGATTGAGATTTATTCCTAGAAGAGAACTCAAGGATCAGGTAACTCAGCACTCTGATTTTAGAGGAAAGGGAGGAGAGACCCAGAGACGATAAATGACACACCTAAGTTCATCAGCAAGGTAACCGGCACGATTATGCTTATACACACACAGTCGCACACACATACAGATGTGCTTGCATTTACCTGTGTTATGCACACAAAATGCCACCATCTCTTATAATAGATAAAAAGTAAGTATGCAAACTTTCATTACCTCACGGCTAGACGTGGAAATGCCCATCCTTTAAAGGAGTGGAAAGTTCTGCTTTCTTTCTGTGTGCCTCTGTACCGTTGCTCTCTGCACACCATAAAAGTAGCATGGATGGGGTGAAGTGTGCGGGGCAGGACGGAGTGCAGTGTGTTCAACTCAGACCAGGACAGAAGTTCCTCGTTACGCCTAAAACGCTCCCACTGGCAGTGCAGACTATCCATGACGGTAAGCTTGGGCTGCTGGAACTTCTGGACCTGGCTGGAAGGAGAAAATGAGGAGCGCAGACAGCAGTTGGCAGTGTCTGTCTGCCCCTCACCCAGAACACTGAGTAGGGGCTCCCCTGACCATAAAGAACAGAGAGGAGCAGTGTGTCTTGCCTAATGTATTAAACTACAGGTTGAGTATCTCTTATTTGAAATGCCTGGGACCAGCCAGCATTTGGGGGTTTTCTGGAATTTGGAATATAAGTGCATGGATAATGAAATAACTTAGTGATAGGACCCAAATCTAAACAAGAAGTTAATATGTGTTTTATATATACTCATATGTGAAGCTTATATATACTTATAGGCTGAAGGTATGTTTACATGATATTTTTAATAATTCTGTGCATGAAACAAATCTTCATGGCGTGAGCTGACATGGTGGCTCATGCCTGTAATCTCAGCTACTTAGGAGGCTGAGGCAGGACTGTGAGTTTGAGGCCAGTCTATGAAATTTAATGAGAATCTGCCTCAAAATAAAAAATAAAATAAAATAAAAAGGGTTGAGGATGTGTCTAGGTGGTGGAGTGCCTGCCTCCCATGTATGAGGCCCTGGGTTCAATAATAAGCACTGCAAAAATGTATTGAAAAAAATCCTCATGGTGTAGAATTTTCCACTTGTGACATCGTGTTAGCACTTAAAGCTTCAGATTTTGGAGCATTTCAGATTTTGGATAAGGGATGCTCAACTGGCATAAACTTAGATAATTTTATTAGGTACAGAATTTCTGATTATTTTATCTTATATATGCGTATAAATATCAAAATACTTTTCTTATTATGTAGTACTATTAATTGCTATTTTATCTCTTTCCATAAAATTACATGTGCATATAATTTGAAGGTAGTTTTAAAAATACCATTCCTTTTGATATTTATTACAGATGTTTTTCAGGAAAATCCTAATTCTAGCTATATATAGTAACATTAAATAACTTAAAAAAATAAATAATACATTATATTTTACCAAAATAGTCACATTTTAAAGCCATATAAGTGAAAAAGTTGAGTTTTTAAGAATAGATTAGGCCTTCTAAAGGTATTTTTTCATTAGGGAACAGTATTTTAAATTAATAGTAAATGCACTTTATTTCCTGACTATATCAAATATATGCACACTGCTCTCGGTAGTTTGTGCCAGAGCATTTTTATGAAACAAAAGGTTGTTTCCTTTGTCTGTTTTTTTACTTATTTCACAGTGGAAAATTTATTCTAAATCTACATAAATTTGTTCCCAAAAGATTGCCCCAAGGAGACAATGTAACCAAACAATACCAAAAGTTTAATAATTATGTATCTCCAGTGCATGCAGCCTCCTATTTTCTAATAACGGTAGTAGAAAGTAATGTTCAAGTATCATTTAAATAGAACTGGACTTAACGACAGCTATCTCATAAAGTTAACACTCTAGGGGAAGAGAATCCTTGAGGAACCTGTCTTGCTAGGAAGCCATTGCTGAAATTCCCATAGGAAACAAAACCATCAACAAAGAAGGGAGAGCACTTGGTCCCCAGCACAGAGCTCAAAGCGCACACATTTAACGCCGCTCTGCCCCCAAGGTCAGCTCTAGCAAGTTCAAGAGCTCCTGTTTTCTCAGCTCAAGGAAGGTCATCCCATCATCCACAACTGTGAATGCGTCTTCTGAAAAGACTGTCTTGAGGGAGGCAGGACCAAGCCTATTTCCAGCCCTGCTCCTGCGTTTTGCAGCTGTGGAACTTGGTGGTAGTTGGCTAAAACAAAGAACAGAGCGTGGCCCACTCTGAAAACCAAATTCAGATATTTTTGCACTTTCTCGAATTCACTTCTGAAAACTAGATTATCATAAAGTCTGCAGAGAACAGAGAATCCAAGACTCACAAGCAGCACGTGAGGGGGATTAAGCAACTAAGAATTCCATGTCTTTGCAAAGCAGATGCAGAAGGTCAAGAGGGGCTTGAGCCTCTGGGAGGTTTTGCTCCTTCACAGGTTTTGATCCAGCCACTTGATGTAACTATTCCTAGTCCGCATGCCCACTGAGAAGTTGGTGGGCCAGCTCGTGAAAATCATGCACCCGTGGAAGCCATCCTCGAAGTGATCGAGGGTCACCTCCACACCCACGCTCTCCAGGCGCTTGGCGTACATGATCCCATCGTCTCTCAGGACGTCGTGCTCGCAAGTCAGAATGTAGGTCTTCGGGAGGTGCTGGAGCACGGCCTGGTCCGCAATGAGTGGGGACGAGCGGGCATCCAGCAACTGCGGGATCTCCTGCACGATCCTGGCACTGCCCGTGGTCTGCACAACAGGCGTGTAGTTCTTGGTGATGGACGCAGGCAGCAAGGATGTCCAGTTTAGACGGGCCCTGAGGGCCACAGCCTCTTCCACCTCCAGGGAAGTGTGATTGTTAATGATCATCGCCTGCACAAAGTCGTAGCTGCCTTTGAAGTAGTCCACCCAGTACTTCACCATGACGTAGCGGGGCAGGATTGGGGTGTTCACATTTTGCTGGTAAGAGGGTGTATTAAAGTCTAACGCTTGGAGGACTGGGTAGATTAATGCTTGCAGTTTGAGCTTATTCCTTAGGTTGGCATCTTGACTGAACTGAAAAAGAAACACAGCATTTCGTTTTGTGTGATTCCTTTCCCAGAAAGGACACCCTACGGGGTAGCTTCATGTATAGCTTCGAGTCAGTCAAAGGAATGCACTTTACATTTCTACCAGGCATGGTATCAAGTAATATCGTTTAAAAATAAACAATTCTACACCACTGCTACCCTATCACGCTCCTGGGTATTTATTAAGAAAACCATGCTGCTTGTAATTCATAGCTTTGAATGAACCCAGGGTACATGACCTCTGAGGTCTTAACTCCCATTAACACTCCTTGTATCTATCCTCTGGCACTTAGCACACATCTGCCTTGGTAGATATTATGGGTGAATACTCTATGAACCTCATTTAACTTCATTTTGTACACAGCTCCAGAAGGCAATAGCTCCCTGGGAGAAGAAAACAAAGCTTGGTCTTACAGAGGAGCAGAATAATAAAGCTGAATGAACAGACAACAAGACTCCGAAGGGTTTTAGAGAAAACCCTCTGGTGAGCATTTAGTCCCCATACTTGTTGAGAGAGTGAGAATTTAAATAATGTTGGCAACGCACCTCCATTCCACTCAATGAGCACATCCCTCAGAATGAAGCCAAAATGGAAATGGAAGTGAATCTCTCACCTCTGCAGCTATCAGCTCACCTGTGAGTCTTGCCAATATGATTATATCATGGCATTTCTGTAATTCTATCATCTCAAATTATACATCTGTCATATAACAGCCTAAAGGAAACCAGCTAGATCACTATGCTTCATTAGTAGCTAAATGATCTTTATGCTAACTGCAACCTCGTGGTTTTGCTCTGCCCCTGGACTTTCTTTTTTTTTTTTTTTCTCCGGTACCGGGAACCGAACTCACAACCTTGCGCTTGCCAGGCAGGCGCTTTTGCCGCTGAGCTAAATCCCCAGCCCTGCCCCTGGACTTTCAAACCCCGCCCTCAGGTAAGATGTAACTGCTCTAGGAAAGGAAAAGGAAACGCTCAGGAGCACGCGCCACACTAAGCCCTTGCAACAGCACTGCAGCCACACACACTCTGTGGCTTCATTTTCCTGAGGCTCAGAAAGGGTTACGGGACTCAGTCCACCCTGTATCTCTCCAAAGTGGGGCCTGGATTAGATCCCAGGCCTGCCTGGCTTTGAAGCCTGTGTCTGGGCACCAGAGTAGCAAATGTGATCACGTCACACAGAATCGAGTTCTTTATTATTATCTAATAATTAATCAAGCAAAGGATAAAAAATACCCCAAGTATGTCACAAATAAAATGGAACATGCTGTTCAAACATACCAAAACAAAACGTGGAAGTCAGAAGGCAGAAATGCTAGTCTTAAGCTATTTAATCTATAAGAAGAAAACGTGCTTATCTTTGAGTTTGCACAGCTGCCAAAACATTAAGTGCTATTAGAGCTAGACATTGCTTTCATGGAACTTGGCCAGGTAAAACTCAGATCAGCGTGTGTAATTTGACAACTAAAATAGCTGAAGATTGATATTTTTCTTTTCTATATTAAAAAAGTCTTTTGGGGAACAATAACTTGTCTCAAAGTTCTAAGAAGACAATCACAGAAAATGGAATATAAGCAAAGACACTGCATTCTGCAAAGCAAACTTAGAAGAGGAGTAGGCGGTACTAATGCTAATGTTGCACGGCTCTCCCTTAGGAGCAAGAGAGTCCGCTAAGACATCAGACCCTCTCTAAGGGTCCAAAACTACAGTCCCTCTGGACTGTAATTAGGGACTCCAGCACTCCAGAGGGTTCTTCCTCCAATGAGCCATCTTCCTGCTCGGCAGGGTGGTCCACGGTTATAACCCCGGCTACTCAGGAGCCTGAGGCAGCATTACAAGTTGGAGGCCAGCCTGGTCAATTTAGTGACCCTGTCTCAAAAGAAAATAACTTGACTGTGCAGCTAGCAGCCAGCATGGCGTGTCTGCCACAACTAAGGAAGCATGAGTTAATCTGTTACCTGTTGTCCAAGGGCAGCAGCCAAGTTCCCACCAGCGCTGTCACCGGAAACGCCAACTCTGCCGGGGTCAACCTTATACTTCTCCAAGACCTCTGGCTGCAGGAAATACTTTGTGGCATGAACCACATCGTGAATTTGCTCAGGAAAATAAACCTGTGGGACCAGCCTATATCTGTGAAGATAAAAATGGTATTCATTGAAAGACATCAAGTTTTTATAAGCTATTTAAAGTTTAAAGAGAAAGACTAATTTCCTTCAAGTTAGAGATATGTAATTAAAGAAAATACAAAATATAAATATAAATATAAAATGTGAAAATAAACTATGCAAAATTACTTAGCTTATAAATGTAACAATTTTGTGTTAGCAGAAGTCCTTGTTTTCACAATAAGCCACCAACAACTCAAAAAAGAAAACTTTAAATTAAAAGGCAAACGTTGGCTGGGTGTGGTGGCACAAACCTGTTGTTTTAGCTACTCTGGAGGCTGAGGCAGGAGGATCTTTAGTTTGAGGCCAGCCTGGGCTACATAAGAGCCTCATCTCAAAACAAAAACAAAGGTTGGAAACACAGCTCCGTGCTAGAGAACTTGCCTAGCACATGCGCGGCCCTGAGTTCAGTCCACAGTACTGCCAAATAGTAAAAACAAAAGCAGGCTGGTGTTGATTATTACAGTGTGGCTAGAATAATTACAGGTTTTCATGTTCTGTTCACAATGCCTCTGGGTTAGGTGACTCAGCAGCATCAACCGCTTCACCGACCTCACATTTAGTAAGTCTGTAGGTCCCTCTTCATAATTTATTTGATGAATAAAATAATATTGTACTCTGCTGAAGAGGTCGATGAAACTAGTAGTGGAGAAGGACCTTCTCTCAAACTGATAAAGGCCATTTAAGATAAACCCACTGCTTACATCACACTCAATGGAAAAAAACTGAAACCGCTTCCTCTAAAATCAGGCCACTGTCACCACTCATAGTCAATGCAGTACTCAAATCTTTCACCAGAGCAATCAGGTGAGAGAAATACAAGGGCTATGCAGAGGAAAGAGCTGAATCACAGATGACCGGATCCTCTACCTAGAACTCGCAAAGAGCTCCGCACTGCAGGCTGACTTTAAACCCAGGCAACGCCAGCACTCAAGGGAGAGCAAACTAAGAGGCCAGCTTTAACCATCTACAGGAAAGCTAGGTTTGCTGCGCAGCCTGGGGCAGAGCCCCTAGGATATTTCTAGCTCTCCTTCTGCCACACTGCAGCACTGGAGTTCTCTGCGGTCCCGCCCTGCAGAATGTGTAAGAATCCTGGTTTTGTCGAATGCCCCACTCATGCTATTTTCAGTATCCATGCTGGGGGATGGCACATTCTCAGCCGCCCTCCTGACCTGCTTTTACTAACCCTGTCTTCTTCAAGCCTTCACTAGGGGCTGCAAGTCCGCTTCTGAGCCGAGCTGCCACACGCAAGGAGCGCCTTCATATTCCAGTGTGCTCTGGTACATCGCCATTCTTACTGTCTTGTATAAAAACTGTCTTGTGTTTCCTCTGAAGGCCTTGTACTCTGACACCAGGAACTCTTTTAGAGACCCTTATTTTCAGTATCTGCAAATGATGTAGGCCTATGACCATCTATCCAGCAAACCTTTTGAAAAACTTTCTTTTTTGCATATAACATAACTTCAGTTTGCAAACGAGGAAACCGAGGTGCTAAAAAGTTACTTGACTTGTAAAATATGTCAAACACAGACCAAAATAAGGTAGGAGAGAAAATACCTAACTAAAATTTAAAATCTCATTTCAGACTCAGGTTTTTTGACTTCCATCTTAAAAATAGCAAGTTTATTTTTAGAAACTAATTTTTAAAGCTACTCTATAAAAACCCATTTATTTTTCCCACTTAAAACCTTGCTAATTAAACATCTCGACATTCAGTGCAGATACAAATAGACAAATACTTGTGAAATATTATTTATTACATTTTGAAACTAAATGCAGTAATAAATTATCTTAGTGGTTGCCAAATAGCAGATAAAATACTTATTTTTTAAATTTGTGGTGATCAATTATTCAACCAAAATTTTTTCCCTGAAAAAATTTGATTTTTACACAATGGGCAGAGAAAGTAGGATTGCACCAGTTTTCCACTAGATGGCGACATCACACAAGAGTCTTGCTACGGTCACTTCAGCATTGCCAAGTTGAACTTTTAATTTCTAGATAAACAAGGGAACTTCATGACAAGTTGTGAAAATAAAGAGTATTTTATTTCATTAATATCCTATATTAATAGGAAAACAGTTTCCTGGTTGCCTGAAGGTCAGAACACATTCCTTCTGGGATACATACATGAGTTAAACAGAATTTTCAAGTGCTATTTCAGAAAAGGTTTCAGTACCTTTGGATCAAGGGAAGTTGGTAATTTAAAAGAGCATGTTAATGGATCCATGGCACACCTGTTGTCCCAGCTACTCGGGAGGATTGCAAATCCAAGGGAAGCCTGGGCAATTTAGCAAGACTCTGTCTCAATTTTAAAATATAAAAAATGGTTTAGGGTATAGGGCTCCCTGATTTCAGTCCACAGTACTGCTAAGTAAATGAGCGAATGAATGGCATGCTACTGATTAATCTTGTCAATTGATAACTGGCTCAGATGACAGAGCAAACATACTGAAAAACAGGTTGTGGTTTAAGAGTTTCCTGGCATCCCTGAAGATCCCTACCCTAACCCTGTCTCTTTGTTCAAGCTGGAAATATTCACTGACTCAGTTTTACAGATTGAAGAATACATTGAAATGAGATGTTTCATAGGTCACCTAGTATAACAGGAGCCTTCAAAGCAGCTGAAATTCACCTCAGATGTGTAACACAATTTCATAACATATTCATAGACATTGAAACCATCAAGTTGGGAGGAAATTCATGGGTGATACAGGCAGAAATTCATACACAAACATTATTTGCTATCTGTGGCTTATGTTCAAAGTTATGTCTCTGGAAAGTACTGAAAAAGAATTCTTTTTTGTTTAATTTGCAAAACTATAGATCTTGAAGTAAAGCAGCGGATATAGATAAATGTGTCTGTATGTCCATCTCAGTTCGCCAACGCACTGCAGGGCGTGGGCTGGGCCCCCGACTTTATCACTGCACACACTTCCTACCAAACGTGCAAAAGTCAGCACACATGCAGGCACGAGGTTCAATCAGAGGGAAAAATATTTACACTCTGAAAAGTTCTTGTTCCTCCTCCATGAGACACCTGGCAAAGTGTTCTACAGATGGCTGCACTCCGCTCTCAGAGTAAACCTGGGGGCTTAAGGATAAGAACACAAGTTCAGGGGTGAGGGGCACGCGCCCTGTCTACAGCAGCTGCTTCTTAACCAATGCTCTCTCCCTTAAATATATTTTCGGTCTTCAAAAACCACAGCCTTTAAAAACTATATAGACAAAAGCACTACTCTTTCAGAATTGTGGGTTTCTGACAGCTCAGAACACTTGTCACAATTTCATTTGGTTTGCAAAATTCTCAAAACAAAATACCTAGCCCAATGCTGGGCCCACAGGACATACCTGACAACATACATTTTTCCCTCTCTAAGAAAAGTTTAAAGGTATACTTTATACCTTTTACATATAAGACATGTGCCACCTAGCACTACCTGTGGTGGGGAAAATAACAAGCTATACGGCTTTAAAGAAAATTAAAAAGGAGCTGGGCAGGTGGTGTAGATCTGTAATCTTAGCTCTCTGGAAGGTAGAAGGATGTTAAGTTTGAGCCCAGCCCAGGCAACTTAATGACTTTAGTGAGTATCTGTCTCAAAATTAAAAAATTTTAAAAAGGGGCTGAAGTATGTAGCTCACTGTGAAAGCCCTGGGTTCCAGCCCCCGTTTAAAAAAAAAAAAAAGAAAAATGTTCCTAACCCCCTATTCTGGCTGTGTCCAAGGACTCCACTTCCTCGATACTATACATTAGCTCTGGGGTTCTCAGTTCTGGACGTTGTTCGCCTACTTGTACCATCCTGCAGCTTGTTTGTTTCTTTCCTTCTTTCCCCTCCTCCTTCCTTTTCTTCTTCCTCCTCTTTCCATCTTTTTCTTTTCAGCACTAAAGACTGAGCTCTATCACTGAGGTACAGCCCTAGCACCTTTATTTTATTTTATTTTTTTGAGACAGGGTCTAGCTAAGTTGCACAGGCTGACCTCAAACTTGCACTCCTCCTGCCTCAACCTCCCAAGTAGCTGGGATCGCAGATGTGCACAACCACATCTGGCTACTTGACAAATTTGCAAAAGCACTAAGGTGTAAGCCCTGCTTCAAAATAAGCCAATTCAGTTAGTCGGTGTGGACCAGAAAATCACCAAGTGATTCCAATGCGCAGCCAGGGGTCAGAAATATCCGATTCCAGTCAAATTGTCATTCCTTGCAGAACACATCTCCCCCATCCCCATCCCTAACACACTGGTCCCTCCCTCTATCTCCTGGACCTTTCTCCACCACTCCCTCCCTCATCAAGTGTCCCCATCCTTTAAGTTGCATTTTAATTAAATGCTACTTTTTCCATTAAGCCCCCTGATTCCCAGCCAAAAGTAACTCTCCTTTTTTGGAGCCTTCAAAATCTCCGTAACAATGCATTACAACACACACCTCCCCTGTCTACAGAAGTAGAGGGGAGTCATAATTAAATACTGAGGATTATGATGTTAACCTACCTGAAAGGAGCAGCACCATTTCCATGATATTTAATATTTACTTTATGACTTACTAGACCAACAGTGTCCAGAGACAGGGCACAATGCTCAGAAAGAGCATTGTGACCGTATGATCTTTATGGCAAAGGCAGCTGCCGTATCCAAGCCTGGCGCTGAATTGCTCCATTGTAAGTGGAAGCCCAGAATGACACGAGGATTCCAAGAGAACTGAACGCGATTCTCTCTCAAAATGATCTCACCTGGAAAGTATGTGTACCACCTTCCACGGGAAGGAAGGACAGAGTTCACTTCACATCAAGCCAGGTAGGTGAAAGGTATGACAGTCTGCCAGGAAACTGCATTCCTAATAGGTTTCATGGGGGACAGGGAAGTCGCACTGCTTCTCAGCTTTCCCCCCTTTCACCTCCTCCCAAGGAGAGTTTAATGGATTCACCTTGAAAACATAAAACAGTTTCTATTCCTGCAGTCTTCAGAAAC